TTGTTTTGATTTTTCGCGTTTCTTCTGCGTCACACCTGATCTTGAAATCTGATTGGCCAGTGAAATTTTTTAGGTTGATAACGCTGGTAACTAATCGATTGGCAAAATTTTTACACTATACACAACATAGTCAACCAGCGTTAGGCCAAATTGATTTGGAAAGGAATTTCGAAAATGAGATAGTTAATAGTTATTATCTTTTAATATACAACTTATATATACATCAATTTTCTTAGCTCTATGTATGCAAAATATTTTTCTATTTCACAGTGTTGTCTTACCATGGATTTTTATTAGCTTATTGCAATAAATTGCACAAGTTGTTATTGCACTCAAGGATGCATATATATTTGCATCTCAATAATGGATCTGAATCATACTATGAAATATAATACTAATCATTATATTCAATTATGTATAAATTTTTGCCAATATAATAGATATCCGTAATATGTGAGCCTATGTTTATTTACATATCAATTTTCTAACAAGCTTTCCTTTATATTTTTTCGTATCAACTAAAAAACAAAATTTTTGCAATCGAATGAATTTTCTCAAGTAATCTCATGATAATTTGCATACCATCTTTCTGATCTGATGTTCACAATCAGTATAAATGCTCATGTTTGGTTTTCCCACTATTTAAGAAAAATGTTAATAATATAAAATAAATTGCAAAGCAATATATAAAAAAAAAGGGGACAAAAAAGGACAAAAAAATACTATATTTATACATACCTCATCATGGTCCAATAAAAAATGATTGCACGCATCACGTCTTGTAAAAAAGATCTTGCCGCAATCCTCAAACGAGCACGGAAAAAACCCCTTTGCGTGCACTTCTCGATGAGCTTTTAAATGACATGATTTTGCAAATTTTGCTTTACAAAGTGGATCAGGGCAAATATACTTTTTCTCTTCATACGTTACAACAAATTATCATACTCTGTTGTTAATTGAATAGTTTATATGTCGAATAAAATAAACAAAATTTTCGTTGCATTTTATTACCTTCGCATTGTTTATTAGCTTCGATTTTAATAAATTTCGACCGTAAATTGGAGAAAATCTTTACACTACGCAACCCTATTCTAGGCTTTACATTGACTATTTTGGCAGTTTCTGCCGAACCTTGCTGAGTAGATTTCCGAGTTTCAGATTTATCTCTATGTTCATCATGTGTTGAATCATCGTTACTTGTCTGTTTAAAATCTGTTGCCTCGTTATTTAAGATATCCTCATGATTAAATTCATCAAAATCTTGCATTGGATTGCTGTCGAGTGATGGTGATTCGTCGGTAACTTTACTGTCAAAGGAGCTTTCACTTTCTGTACCGTCATTTATATCGTCAATTGAATGGTCATTCAATGATGTATCAGTAGAATTATTTAAAATTTGGCCGCCGCTTTCACTGATTAACCACTCTTTAGCTATTGAATAACGAATTGTTTGAAGTGGCCTTTAGACACGCATTTTGAAGAATATGAATTATTTCTACTTAGTAATTACCTTCTTCATATGAAGAGAACCGTGCTAACTCTGGATATAAGCATATTAGGCCGTATTTTAAATCCATTATTTTAGACACGGTATTCTTACAACTAGAATTCTGATATTTTAGTGGTGTCGAAGTTAAATGAACGAAATCTCGTCGCAGAATAAGGGGATTGTTTTAATATTCTATTTATAGCACTCATGCACCTGTTAGATGCAGGATCGACCAATAAGAGAGTGACTGGTGATATTCCGATAAATGTATAATTAAGGATGTTAAAAATCCAGTTTTAAACTAGTTCGTATTTCCCGTCTAAACCGGTCCAACCCTAGCGGTTTACATTTTTTTAACGTAGAATTTATTTATTATCAAAACGCGTCTACAATATTAATTTAAAAAAAATAACTCAAAATTATTTGTTGTTACTCCTGAGTCACAACATGTTTTAGACATGGGCTTATGCGTGCCTTTTTATTACGCATCTAATCGGGCATCTAAAAAAAATCTGCTTGCTAAAAATACTTGTTGCCACATATAGGTAATTATTGTAAGTTTAAAGACAATACAAGAATATATATATATTTTTTATATATAGTGTTTAATTGCATGCCATCTATCAGGAACTTTTTTATGGTATATGCATTTATAAATTATAACTATTTTTGTATTAATAATTGAATAACTCTAACTATAACTAGTAATCTTTATTACTAGGACTATATTTCAAAACCTACTAGCTAAACCTTAGCTAAAATTTGAACCTTTGATTTCTGTTTTATTTTAAAAAAATGCATCCTAACTCTAAAAATAGAGGTGGTGATAATTACTTTAATTATAGTTCTTAATAAACTAAATTTTTAAACAATAATATATATATTAGAGATTATATCAAACTTTAGAGCTAAAATGCAATTATATATTAAAATAAAACTTAGATATAAAGATTAAAAGTTAGATATAAAGGTTTAAATTTTAGATTGTATAAAGTTTTTTTTTCTTTTGGCAATCCTGTTTATTTTATTATAAGAACAGACTTTATTCTTACATCGGCTAATGAAGAAATTTAAATTTATAATGTTCCAATCAGAAGATAAACTTATCCACAGCTTTACTTTGCAGATGTCATAACATCTACTTGCAGTCAGGATGAACTATTAAACCATTGTGTTATGCCCAAATATAATCTGTCTAGTAAATGATTGGCCTTTTCCAGAAATCTGAAACTTACTTAGAACTTATTTCTCCTGAATTCTTTGGCTAGCTATTGCACCGTCTCATTAAGATTTCTGCTCTACAATAAAATGTCACCAAGCTGATAACATTTTTCATAGTGAAGAAAAAAAAAACAAAAGAGATAATAAAAAATGAAAAAAAGGTGTATATAATAAAAACTAATACATCAGAGAAAATGTATATTAATACTAAAAAGTAAAAATCTAAACTAAAACCTAAAAGAAACTATCGCTAAAAGAAGAAAATCTGTTAACCAGGTAAAAAAAACTTCTAATTATACAAAGTAATAATTTACTATTAAGTGTAAGAGTCTTGATAAAAATCTATAACTATAACAAGATGCATTATAACTCGTACCAAAGACTAAAAATTTATTCATTTCATTACATATACTAATTTGTCATCATCTAGTTTCTCAATATGGAAGTAGTAAATAATACCAATCTTTTAGAAGGAGTAAGCCAAATTTTCTACTTTTTGTTGAAAGTTTTAGAGCTAAAAAATGATAAGGAAATATTGAGTTCTTCAAGTTTTTCAATCATAAAGTGTTGTTCTAAGAGTTTTTTATAGCCTTTCATTTTTAAACAAACTTAAGTCTTCTTTTTACTTGCTGTTTTCAGAAACTTCTCTAGTTTGTATACCAAACGCAAAAGAGAGTTTACCTAAGAAATAGCAGAAAAACCAGACTTGACCCCTTTGCAAACCATCCAAAATATCTGCTTCTCAATATATTACATTCAAAGACTTTATTAACAACAATTTGTATCAAGAAACTTCAAGTTGTTATTGACTTCTAGGCTTAAATTTTCAACTTGCTTTCAGTGTTAGGTTGGTACAAGTGATTATCAGAAAAAGTGTTGACAATTGTTTTATAAAGTTTTTTAAGATTTTAAATATTTTTATTAAATATAGTCAAACCTCTCTATAGTCACTCTCTATATAAGCATATTATATAAAAATTCTCTTTATAAGCATATTTATTTTAAAACTAACTATTATAAACATATAGAAAAAAACCTCTTTATAAGCATATCTTAGTAAAATTTTTTTTATAATTATACGAATCTTTATCTTGAGAAGTGTAATTATAGGAAAGCTAGACTATATATTTAATTTTTGTTTTTAATTTTTTAAAATACAATATTTTCTTACTAATTATCTGAATCAAGACTACCAAAAACAAATTGAAGATTTAAGGCCTAAAAGTTTTAAAATACTTAGAGTTCTTGTATAGATGCTGTTGTCAACAAAGATTATTTATATAAAATATCAAAAAACAGATTTATTTAGCTAGTTTGTGCCTTGGATAAGCTTCTTCTTTAGTGAATTTCCTTATATCTTTGGTATCCAAACTAGAAAATAATAGTATACTGTGATAAAAAACTTTTAACTCAAATATTAAATACTTTAATATTATATATATATATATATTTCCACTTAGACCATCTTGCCTTTAGTCTTCTTTATTACTTTACATTGTATGGTATTACAAAAGGCTTTAGCATAATATTTAGGAGTGGTATTCCACAGTTACTTCGAGAGCACTTACAAGCGATTGGCCACACTAAGCAGATACATTTCTATGAATATATCGCGATTAGTTTCAAAATAGAAACACTATTTCTCTCAGACAAACACTATTAGACCACTGCCCTACAATAGGATATCGCCAATCTGATGATATCTTCTTGTAGAAAGTGGAAAGAAAAAAAAATTTTTACTAATACTAACACTAATACTAAAGGGGAGATACTAAAAAAAAGACTAAAAAACAAATATAAAGATGAAAGGAGAAAGAAAAAGAAAAGAGAATTTGATAGGTCACAGTTATAGGTTTGTGTCAGGTCTTAAAAATTATATATTAATAGGTAAAGAAGCTCTGTATCTAACTCTATCCTAATAATATATGTATAGTAAAAAAAA